TCATCATCATCATCATCATCATCATCATCATCATCATCATTATTATTATTATTCCTTCAAATCCAGGTCATTCCAGTCACAATAAAAACATTGAGGAGAAAGGTACCAAGGTGCATACAAAGTGAGTTAAATCCAGAAAGGTGGTCAAGCTAGAACTATACAGTACTCTAGCTCATAAACACACTCAACCATCTGATTTAGTAGCTTCTCGTGGTTCTTAGCATGCTGCTATATGGATATGTGTGTGAGCAATGTGACTATAAAATAGTGTTCACAAAAAATGAGAGAGAAAATTGTTCATGAAGTTAAATTTTTGCATATTGATCTTTAGAAGGAACACTGCAAACCAGACAGCCTCCCTTTGGTCCAGAAACCTGTGTCTCTAATTATTATATTATAGATATATTCATACAAAAGAGTAAACTAGAGTTCTTCAGTTTTGGCCTTATTCTACCCAAGGCCTGCTAGTGAACACTACCCAAAAGCTCTTATTTGGCTTTTCTGGGAAGTGCAAATAGCTTAAATAACTAGGAACTCACCAGATTGGTAAGGGTCTCACTTGAACCCAGATCCTGTCATTCCACTCCTCTATCAAGCCATGAGCCATCAGAACACGTTTTGCATGTTTTGCATATTTGCATATTCTGTGGAGCAGAAAGTCTTCTATTGAGGCACCAGTTTTTTGTTTGCAGAGTTAACAGTGGAGTGAAGCAACCTCTCCTTCTTTCATCTCATGCTTGAAGGACAGGATTGTTCTTCCTCACCAGGAATCTTCCATCTTATCCTCTTGCATGGCATAAACCAGGGAAGGGTAACAAAAAAACAACCAGTCTCTCCCCCACCCCTCCACACACAGACGTTTGTTAACCAATCACTTCCATGCATTTTTCTGCAATGCAAATGTCACTCAATTGCATGCAACTTAGCCGCCAAAACCACTCAGGGTAGCAGAGTGAGATAACGCAGGATCAAATCCACACTTGGCCAAGAAGATTCCTAAGTAATACTGGGCCAATCATAACCCACCTACCCTATGTTACAAGTATAATGTCAAGATGTAAAGTTACGGCATGTAGTTGCAAAATTCCAGATGACTCTGGAACTCAGAGTTGAGGTCCACACATCTTAAGGTTGTCGAGGTTGACAAACACTGGCCTAAAGATGGGGGAAACCAAATATGCTGCCTTCTCAGAGGAAGACACAGACTTATAAAAAGTATAAAGAAATAGAGATCAATAAACGCGATCGATCGAGGTCTCGGCAGTAACAGCTGCTACAACCGGCATGCCACGGCCCACCACTCTTAAACGGGCGCCCCGCCGCATCTTAAAACGGGCGGAGAAGCGTCTCTTTTGCGCAGACGGCTCGGAGAAGCGGGTCGCCGTTTTGTCTGCCACGCAGCCCCTCCTCCCCCACCATCTCAGGAAGAGACAATTACCCTTACCGGCAGTCATTAAAAAAAACCCTTTCGGATCCACCCCGGTTCCTTTTCCCCCCTCGGTGTCTTCAAACGGACTCAAGTTCCGGTGGAACCCAGTCGTGGACAAGGTTGGAAGAAGTCGAAAAAGTCGTCTGCTCCTCGCCTGTCAGCGCCCTTCGGTTGAAGGTTGCTCTCCAGGCGGAAGGCGCGGCCTTCCAACTCCAAGACACCCGGCCCCGGCGAGGTTTTCGTTTGAAATGTGTCATGTGACCCCTTTCCCAGCTCTGCAACGGCCGCCGCCGCCGCCGCCAGATTTGTCTCGGGAGGAGAGGAGAGTGAGCGCAACGCGGTTCGCTCCTGGGCTTACGGGCCGCGCTAGGAGGGCCGTACAGCCACGCCTCGGTAGCTCTGTGGCGCGGGAAGCTGCGGGCGATCGCCATCATCATCCCGCAACCCTAGTTCAGGCAGCAGTTGCAGAAAGGGCGCCCTCCTCCACCCTGAGCTCCTGTAGAACAGGCGGGACGTAAATCGAACGAACGAACGAACATTCGCAGGACGTCTCCCCGCCTTCGAAGCAGGAGGCTCCGAAGACCGCCGAGTCCGCAGTTAGGCTGCAGCCCTAACTCGGCCGGAATCCCATTATTTTTAGATTTCCCGGTAACAAGCCGAGACTCTCCCGCACAGATCAGGATCAGCCGCCCGAGCGGACAGCAGCATCCCAGCAACAAGACGCAGTCAGTGGAAAAGTTACCCTAGTGATCAACTTATCGAGACTGTTAGTGAGAGAGCAGGAGAACAAGCTTTAAACCGCTGCTGCTGCTGCCGCCGCCGCCAGAACAGTTTACCTCCTTGGACTGCTGAGGCTCCAAAGAGTCTGCTTTTGTTTTGAAACCCTGTCTCTGAATGTTCATGGGACGGGAGAATAAACTTCACCAGGTTCTCTACGTCTTTGGAGAGTCCAGTGTTTGCTTTCTGTTACTTGCTAATCACCTCGCCACGTCCCTGTCTACAGGGTCTCTGCCACAATGCAGCCTTACTTCGTTACAATTTGAAAATGTGCATTGCGGTCCTTTTCCGATGGGCCTTATTTTGGGAATTAGGTTAGTGTGGTGAGTCAACTCTCCCTTCCCTTTTTTCATTTTTCAAAACACCTTTCATCACAGCCATTAAATGCGCACATATTCTGTTTGGGGGGGGGGCAACTGCAGCTTCCTATAACAAAAGACGGAACTTTTATAACATTAAAAATGATAAAGCGGAGAAGGGTCTGTTGCTATTTAATAAATTCAGAACTCCTGCAAAAACTTGCTATATTTGAAAGCGAGCTTGAGTATATTCAGCTGAAAATGGTGTCAGGTAAAAGCATGTGCAATCAGAAACACTGAGAAAGAAATTTCAAACTAATTGATGCATAAGAGCTAGATCCTGAGTACAGATAGGTGCATGAAGCCCTTTAGGTGTGCTGAAGTCTGCCCAGGGTCATATTGCAAGTATTTCTGGAAATGTGTTAATTATTTATACTTAGCCCCTTGCTTCTTTTTAATGCAAGTCATTATTGACGCAAACTGTTAACATCTGCCAAGGTCTGTGGCAAAACAAGGACCACTTTTCATTTATCGGTCCAATATAGGAAATCCAATGCCTTGGTGTGTACACAGATCTTTTGACACTCTGGCCAAGGAGATCAGCTCAAGGGGAGTTGCTGGCAGTGTTTCTTAAAATTTCAGCTTGGCAGTTTTGAGTTTCTAAGCAACAGGCAAATGATTCACTCTCAGTTTCCCTGCCCAAGAGATTCATTCATTCATCTTGTGGTGCAGATGCAAAAGCAGGAGAATAATATCTAGATGGAACTTGGAAGAGGCACAGTAATAGATTATTTCTCATCTATTTAGTAAAAAATATTGTACCAATTTTAATATCTTAGTAATTTCTTCCTATCATACCTTTCTCAGTGCTATATGTTTGGAAGGATTATCCCATTTTGCTTTCCAAACAATATATTTGTAATTGCTCAATTTCCTCTTTGTGCTTTTTAATCAAGCAGCTGCCTTGAAATCCTAAATTTAATTTGTGAGTGGAAATGGAATTTAGTTTGAGGATAGTATGCATCAGTCTTTGAAGAACTACCTGTCTGTTTTAAGACCAAAAAAGTCAGCATTTTAGCTATGCTCACACCATCTTTATTTAATTTTCTTGCTTCGATTCATTTTAGTTCCCACTGAACTGAGGTGTAACTGAACATTTCCCACTATAATGAGGTATAACTAATCTTTCATCTGTTTTAAATATTTGAGTTTTAGTTACAATCCATTTATGGAGATTTTTTTTTAATATAATGTGTTAATACGTTTTGGTTTTTTGGGGAAATGCTGACACTAAAATTTCTTTTCTATTGTTCTTTTTTTCTTTTGTATTTAATTGCATGTGTCTGTGTCCTCATGTGGTAAAGGAAAAGACGCTATTAGTATGCAGTGGGGGAATTTCATATTGCTGAAATCTGGAGGGAAGACAAGGGAGGGGGTGTTATAAGAGCATGTAATCAAGGAACACTTAGTGTAGAACTGATAATTCACTAAGGCAAATATAGCCTACCAGGCCCTAAATAAATGTCTTGATTTCTTGCTTCATCACATTTGGTTAACTATAATGTAGTATTTTCCAGTGTTATATGACTGCTAACCTTCTCGGTTATCTGACTTTGTAGAGGCAACATTCCAGATGTGTTATTTGAGGCTTGGCCCTAAAAGCATATTTAGCCCTCACCCCACCCCCAGGCTTATGTATACTTCATGTAAATCAATTAATGTAAAGTTACAATGACACAGAAATTTCATTCCAGCAAATCTGAGTTTTTTATCTGTGTAAAGCTTTATGTATGAACATTCCTTCTCTTTGCTTTACTCCCACAGTTTTTTGGGACCCATCACAAATTAGCTTGATGAATTAGGACCAATGCAATAAAAATTCTAGGAATGAAGCAGGATGATTGCATAATAAAATACAGTCAGAAAATATCTATGTATAATGAATAGTTCATAATAAGCCTCCATTTAAGTACTATTGTATGCTTGCATGCCTCCTGAAAAAAATAGTGTTATCATTATAGTATGATTTGT